TGCTTGCAGATTCCCTTTGGGTGTGGTGAATGGCATTTGGTCGTCGAGGTTGACGAGTGGCTCCTGGACCCGGTCGTTCTTGAAAACCTTCTTGAAAAGTAAATTGCTTGTATATAAAGAAAATTATTACCTTTTAGTTTTTACTTTCACTTAAAAGTATTTCAGTGTTCACTCAACTAAAAACAACTTCATGCTGCAAACTTTATGAGAAGTGTGCACTTCGTCTATGAGAAGTGGTATAGATATATTACTTAATACCTTGCCAAGCTCCTTTACTGTGTGGTTTATGAAAGGTATATATAACTCTTGTCTCACACATTTGCATTTCTTTACAATTCAGCGTTATGTAAATGTGAGCAATCTTGAAGAAGTATGCATGCTTCCAATAAGATACGTATATCTCATATACATATAAATAGATATAGCTTATAGAAGATATTAACATAATTTACTCTCTGAATAAATTTTTCACATCTCCACGCTCCATCTCAATTTAATGCTAGATTTTAATGAATAAAGATAGCATAGATATTTAAAAGATCTTACAAAATTAAAATATTCATTTTGTTTCTTAATAAAAAGATTTATAGTAGACGTATCTGAACGGCATGATACATTTTTTTTGTAGTTTATATTTACATACATTCCTGTAAATATTTTTTTACGTTACGTTGAAGAGACTTAGAATTCTGGCTAAGTAGACACACATTGTCAGAGTACTGCAGATCTTTCCGTTATAATAGTGAATACTGAATGCTAAAATGATTATAGTACGATTTTCTAGGAAATCATTCATAGCCAAAATTAATTATGCTATAGACAGAAAGCGGCCTTGTTGCTGTATTAACATTCTTGATAGATTCACAGATTCTCAGTCAAAATGTATTTGATAAAATTTTTATCTAAAGTAGTTCCCCGATGTATTAAAATTTTTCACTTTTTTCGTAATTGACGATTTTTAACTGGCTAAATTTCAATCTTTAGATAATCTTGTTACCCTATTTAGCATATGTCTACAATATTTTAGTCACTTTATTAATTATTGTCAATTAATTATAAATAAATTATCTTATTTTCCACTATTATTTAAGATCCTGGTTATAGAAACATTAAAATAAATAGAAAGCAGACATTTTAATCGGAATTTGATGTCTATTTAAAAGTAACAACGTGGCATGTAAATACGAGAGTGGGAACTTCAGCGTTTCAGTAGACTATATTTATACAAATGTATTATTATTATTAATGTATCATGACTGTTCACTAACTTAAAAAATTTTGTGCGTTTACGGATAATATTCAAACCCAAATTACTGTATTTATTACTTTCAATCCAAGTGAGGTTGCATTTTTCAACCGGGTGGTGTGACCCAAATAACAGCAGAAATGTTAAATAAGCATTACTCTCTCCGATATCTTCAATTGGTACTGGCAAATTGCTTGGAATTTCAGTGAGACCGTTTAACAGTACATTATACTAATATATTTGTTAAGAACACTTAAAAACCAACATAATATGTCTTAAAATCTATGTTATTTAGCATGTATTACTAGTCAAGAATACTACTGTTCAGAAGTATTACTAAATTAGAAGTAGTATTACTACTACTAGTTTCGCAAAATGTTCGATTTATTTTTTTTATCACTAAAAGAAAATAAAATTTAAATTTTGTTTTTTGATGTGAAGTACTAAAAATTTTATTCAGAATAAAGTCAATTTAATGACATGCCGACGCCAATTTTTGAAATTTAAATAATATTGTGCTTTTTTGGTGGAACAAATTATTCCGACTATGACCATAACCACAACCATAAGCCGTCAAGTATGTCTGGAAATGGGATTATTTGATATTACACAATCAGTGGAAAAATAATGCGCTCGTTCATATCGAATCATTTTAGAAAATATGCACTCGATGCTCAGAACTCCAAATTACTTTTCTATCAAATCAAAAACGTCAACTAAACAATAAATAAAGAAATCAATTGTTAGGATGAAATACAACATAAATCTTTACGGAAACAACACCGCCAAAAGTGCACATCAAAGGAAAATATGGAGAAAAGCAAAGGAATGTATAAGAAAATTTAAATTAGAAAGTGTACACAAAAACTTGATAAAGTATACACACAAATTTGGAGCTATCAAATACCTAGTAATCCCTCTCCACTCCTGCGCCGAGCCCCACATCCACCTGCCTCAATATGCAACTCAGAAACGTTTATGGGAAAAAACAGAGCAAAAACGAAAAAAAAAACAACAAAGAACGCGCCAAATTGCTACAGCCAAAATGTAGCCAACAAAGCGGCAGTTGCCACTTTGCGTAAAGTTGCCACTGCCACTGCCAAAAGCAACCAAAAGCATGCAACTGTGGTTGGAATACAGGACGCTCCCACAACGTTCTTAAAATTCTGGTATCCTTGCCATGGTTCGCACCAAAAAAGGCAAACTTTTCTGTTAGCGTCACAAAGGACTCGAAAATTACAAAAACACAACGAAGTGAAGACTTGCCAACTTACGTAAAATTTTATTTGTATAGTAAAATATCAAACACACACAAATGTATAGAGAGATACGCACTCGTTGGAAGACGTTCCCGTGCTTCGGAATATCAAAAGAGCAGAAAAGCAGCTTACGCTTTGCTTCGACCAACAGTGGATTTTCCTTGCTTTTTTTATTACAATTTTGGTCCAAATGCGTGTGCACTGTGTCACTAAGTCTGAGGTTGATGCTGTGTTTGCGCCTGCTATTACGTTAGCTATTGTGCTTTGCTGTGTTCCCATACACAAGACGACACAAATACACTTGCACCGACCCAGTATTTTAAAAACATTAGCCATAAAGACGTCTGAATGATGGCGGCGGGCAATATATTCCTAGATTTGGTAGGGTACGAGTGTGGCATTTGCTCCTCTGCACCTCATACCATACATAAACCAATGTTTTCCAAGAATTGTATGAGTTTTTGTCTAGGTTTTCACTCCACAACTCGTTCTAACAAAAATGTGCTAAATTTATTCTAAGCGCCATGAAAGTACCGCAATCAAATTTAATAAAAAACTGTCTGACTGTTTGCTAAGTAAACCCTAAATAATAGTATTTCAAATTAGTCTGAAATACAGGAAATAAATCTAAATATTAAAAATAGTCTAAAAAAAAAATCTAAATCTAAAAAAAACTAAATTAATCTAAAAATTTTTCTTGAACAAATAGCAATGATAAAAAATTAATTAGAAGACTTGAAATATAAGGTTTTATGTCTTGTCGATCAAAGATCTTAAAATGAAGGAGAAAGAAGACGTAATGAAAGACCAAGTCTCCGTTAAAATGATAAAATTGGGTGAACACTAACTGCATTTGAACACTAACAGTAAGAAATTAAAGAACGCGTAAAGATTATCCAGATTATGCAACTGAAAAGGAATGTTACATCAGGCCGTAATCCGTAATCGATTGCTGAATCTGGATTCAATCTGGATTTACTCTCGATCTGTCATATTTTGTAGTCCAATCGTACGTTTTCGGAGTAATATAACATGTTCGTAGTTGTATTGGTAGGCAATCATATT